TCAAAAAAAAAAAAAAAAAAAAAACAAAACCCAGAATGTTTCTTCCTCACTTCTCTGCAGTATAATCATCCTTGTTTAATATTGAAAAATGAGAGAACATGCACTAAACCTTAATACATGTGGAAAAAACCTCAAAGAGACTGTCTTTTAGCCACAGAAAGTATTCCATAAGAAAAAACAAATTAAATGGGAAAAGGTATAAATTCTCAGTGTGGCCTTATTTTAATGGCCTTCGCCTATTATTTGGAGTTTCCTTCCTGAAGACCTTGTGTTCTTTGTTTCCACTTGGATGCTGCCATCAAAGACAAACTGCTAAGAACCTTGCATTTTATGATCTTCACTTCTGATTTTAGAGAAAAGGTAGTAAAAGCTAACAAAATTAACATGCAACTGACAAAGTCTATGGATTTCTTACAATAATGGTCCCTTATCCACAATTCTTCACTTTGAGCTGAGATAAATGGGTCTTAATGAATTTCCTCCCACCACTTTTATTTCTGAGGTTCGGTAAGGGGGGAGGGCTCATCAACCTCTGTCTGGCCACTCACCTTAGGAAAAGCTAAGTGATCTCTCTTATTAAAAATGGTTCCCCACTTTGGACAGGGCACCATGGCTAATGCCTATAATTCCAGCAATTTGGGAGACCGAGATGGGAGAATCACTGGAGCCCAGGAGTTTGAGATCAGCCCAGGAAACACAATGAGACCCCCACAACCTTTGTGGTGGTGCACGCCTGTAGTCCCAGCTACTTGGGAGGTGGAGGTGGGAGGAATGCTGCAGCCCAGGAGGTTGAGGCTGCAGTGAGCAATGATCAGGCCACTGCACTTCGGCCTGGGTGACAAAGATCCTGTCCCAAAACAAACAAAAAAAAAGGTTCCTTTCTCCAGAATTGAGAAGCAGTCAGTCTAAAGATACCATATAATCCAGCACAAATGAGCTCTATGTTTCTAATAGGAAACTTATTTTTCTAAGACTTCTAAAGTGAGTAACACAGTTCACTAGATTACTATCTTACCAAAGAATACTTTTCTGGCTCTTCCTTATATACACATACAAAAAATCGGAATTGTCAAAAACTCTTACCTGAAATTCTCTAAAACAAAAGTAGCTGAATCGTAAGATGGCACTAATTCACTAAAAACAAGCAAAAGGCAAAAAAAATTATTTAGCTTTTATGTTTAAAATTCCATTTACCTAAAAAAAGTCCCTCAGTAGTATATCTTGAAAACATTATTAAACTAAAATCTAAGAAATATTTTAAAATCTTTATTAAACATAACATTAAATCAAATGAATTCATAAAACCATCAAAGGTTTTCCATTAAATTAGAGATACAAATACTTCCTAAAAGTTTTTTGGCCGGGCAAAGTGGCTCATACCTATAATCCCAGCACTCTGGAAGGCCAAGGAAGGTGGATCACTTGAGGTCAAGAGTTTGAGACCAGCCTGGCCAACATGGTAAAACCCCACCTCTATTAAAAATATACAAAAAGCCGGGCGCGGTGGCTCAAGCCTGTAATCCCAGCACTTTGGGAGGCCGAGGCGGGTGGATCACGAGGTCAAGAGATCGAGACCACCCTGGTCAACATGGTGAAACCCCGTCTCTACTAAAAATACAAAACATTAGCTGGGCATGGTGGCGCGTGCCTGTAATCCCAGCTACTCAGGAGGCTGAGGCAGGAGAATTGCCTGAAC